CCCAAAAGGAGGGCCCACTATTTTGCAAATTCTACAGGTGCCACACTTAAAAAAACCTATATGAGAGTTTAAAAAGTGTTTCTCTGGTGACGGTCTGATCTAACTATGTACTAATTTGTCTTTTAATGTTGATGCCCCTCCAAATATAATTCTCGGTTTAGATGGTAATATAGATGATAGTACTTGATCCTGTTTCAATAAAACCATTTGGATATATCCTTCTATATATTGACATCGGAACTCTAACGTTTTAAGTTAATTATAATATTACATTGTATGTTTTTCCCTATATTTGGGTAATAAGGGAAGATCTGTTAAACGCTGATACTAATTTTATTTATTTTTTGTCTACATTATTCTGAAAACTTGTTCATTTGTTGTATAATGCTTTAGTGTACTTTTTTATCTCTCTTATCCTTCTAAATTAAATTTAACAGAATTGTTCCAGGGTCCAGTTTAATTTTTGTAATTTCATAAAACATTTTTATCATCTTTTCCCAATAGCTGGTCATCGTTTTACACTTCCCCTAGATGTGCAACAAGCTTCCAGTCTCTAAGCCACATCGCCAGCATTTGCCAGAGATTTTGCAAATATATTTTCATCAAGACCCATCTTTCATCTTTTGACCCAAGTACCGTATGATTAGCAGTTTGAAGTGAAATTTTTTCAAATTTAGGCAATGAATATTTTTGTACATCTTGCATAAGGATTTTTTCCAATCGCTATATTTAATATATAAATCTTAAATCTCTTTCCCATTTGCCTATCACCCGCAATAGGTTTGTTATGTCCAAAATGATACGTGATAACACATTTTGCTAAAAGATTTTTACAATCTTCTAAATCGAACAATTTGATTAATTCCCTCATTTCTTTCCTTATGAAAATATAAGAAGAGTCGTTTGCTTCTCAGTTAGGTATCTTTAGACTGTATACCAACTTTTTCGGCTATTTGTTGAAAGGACTTGACAGAATGGCCTTTTGAAAGATCTGATTTTCTTAATGCCCCTAGTTGACCAAGGATTTACGTTTCTATTTTCCAAAATATAGTTAATGATTGGGAGAGGGTCAATTGATTTATTTTTGAGGCCCACTTCTTTTGTTAGTATATGCCACCACCCCATTAAATCACTCATAATGATATATATATATATATATATATATATATATATATATGTATATATATATATATATATATATTTTTTTTTTAATTCTTTTTTTTGTGGTGCAATTATGGTGGTTGAGTAGGTAAGTATGCCTTATGATAAACAAAAGTGATACACAAGCTTAATGAGAGATGTTTAGATGTGGAGTGTCAGATTAATGTGAGACCACGGCATTGTTGGTCAGGATTAGCTACACAGCAGGTAACCCCTGGTGGTGAGAGCAGAGGGGATATGTGACAGAAAGGTTGTGACTGGGTAAGGAGCGAATAATGTTCTTCAGGTAGGTTTAGTCCCAGGGTCAGTCCATGCCATTCAAGCCCTCGCCATCTCTTGTGGCTGGATCTTTCAGTCCCGGGTCGGTGCAAGGAAAGGGCCGGAGCAGGATGCCTCAGTGTCATGTAACAGCCGCTGCGTTCTGTGTGCCGGCGCTTGGTGCTTTAGGGAGTGAGTAAGGCTTCTTGCCGCCGCGTGTCATGGGGCATTCTCCTCTGATTGCCACTGTGGGTTTGTTGCCACTCACCTTTTTGGCTTCCACCACTCAGTCGCTGCACAGAGCCAGTCAACGACGTATTTTTTTTTTTATCCCAACTCTTGGTTTTCTTCTTTCCCATACAAATCTTATAAACCTTATAAAGGCTGAATGCAGTAAGGATAACCAACTCTCTTGGAAATCAAGTGGAATCATTCTTCATAAATAACTTTATTTTGGCAAAATATATGCCTTTTAAAATTCCAGACCAGGAAAACCTTAGCCCCTAACAGTCCCCGAGATTTCAGACTATCTTTTTCATTTACAAGCCCCAAGTTTTTTGCAAAAAAAAAATCAAATAAGTTTTTGCTCAGATTTTTTTACAATAAACACTCTTTTATCTAAATTACTTATATAGCCGGAAAATCTGGTGTAATCATTCATATCATTTAGTAATTTTGGGATTAATATATCAGGTTCTTCCATCATCAACAGGTTGTAATCTGCATAAAGGTTTAGTTTAGATTGTGAAGACTCTGATTTTCTGGTTTTGTATTATTGAAGTAGCTAATAGTTCTAAAACCATTATTTACAACAATAATAATAATGGACAACCTTGTCTAGTCCTGTTACTAATATTAAACATCTATGAAGGAAATCCAGAACCCCAAACTCTCTTGCATGTGGAGAGTTGTAAAGAGCTGATATAGTTTGTAACATTGTGCTTGTAATTCCAAATTCATTCAACATGCTAAACATGAAACCCCATCCTACCCTATAAAAAGTTTTTTTTTTTTGTTAACCGAGGTCTTGCTTGATATAAAGCCTGTTTGCTAATTATTTATCAACATTAGCAGTAAGGTTTTTAACCATTTCAGAGAGGATAGAGGAAATTGACCCCTCACTACGCTTTTAAAAGCGTACCAGACCATAATATCTAAAACACCTCTCTCTTTATTCTTGAGAAAAGAAAACTTTGTTATTTTTTTTTTTTTTTTATTTCATCTCGATTTTTTTAGCACATGGTCATTCAGCCCCCAATCTTTGTGGAATGAGTCATAGATATCTTTCTATTCTAGCAAAACTGAACTGTGATTTGACCATGTTACATCTTTAATGTATTTTTTGTCAAATAAAGCATAGCTACATTTCTAAAAATAAAGTTGATTTTAGAATTAAAGTTAAACGTTCCGGAGTAACATGTAAAGTCTCTTTTATAAGAACTCGGTTAAAAGTTCCTTCTATCTTTAGAGGTCTAACACACAATTAAAATCACCCATTATAAAAACTAAACCCTGTTTAATTTTCTTACTCTTTTTAGTACCTTTGTGATAAATTGTAATTGGGACTTATATGGTGCATATAGATTTACCTGTGTCAATATTTTATTATTTATTTCACAAACTAAAACAATATATCAATTCTCTTGATCTTGTTCTTGATAGTTGATATTTATAAACACATTTCTAGAGAATATAAATGCAAATGCTCCTTTTATTTTGCCCTCTATAGCAGCATTTATGATTGTAGGGACATTTTGGAGTTTAAAAACCCCCCAAAAATTACAAGTATATATGGCGTTAACTGTGAAATTTACACTATCTTTTTTAATAAAATAGCAGCACCTTATCAGTGTATTCAGCTCTACGAAACACTAAATAGAAAATATTAGTTAATGAAGACCAGGAAAAGGCAGGAATTTTAAATAACTATTTCTCCTCCGTGTATATTAAGGAAGAACCCATGGCAATAAATGTGCAAATGATTGCTACTAAAAACTTGCAGAATAATTGTAATTAGTTAACTCAAGACAAGGTGCTGCAGCAACTAAAGAAAGTTAATATAAACAAAGCTCCAGGGCCATCCACGTGTACTTAAGGAACTAAGTATAGAAATAAGTGAACCTTTGTTTTTAATCTTTCAAGATTCTTTTCTTTCAGGAAGTGTTCCGGAGGATTGGAGGAAGGCAGATGTGGTTCCTATATTCAAAAAGGGTTCAAAATCCTTGCCTGGAAATTATAGACCTGTGAGCTTAACTTCTGTGGTTGGTAAAATATTTGAAAGGTTATTAAGGGATAATATTCAAGAATTCCTTGAGAAGAACATGGTTATCAGCAAAAATCAGCACGGTTTTATGAAGCACAGGTCATGTCAAACTAACTTGATTGCGTTCTATGGACACCTTCTATTTAACATGTTTATAAATGATCTTGAAGACAGCATTGAAAGTCATGTTTCAGTGTTTGCAGATGACACAAAACTTTGTAAAATAATACAATGTGAGCAAGATATTACTTTGCTGAAGAGAGATTTAGATAGACTGGGGGACTGGGCACTCAAATGGCAGATGAAATTTAATGTTGAAAAATGCAAAGTTATGCACTTCGGCGTAAAGAATACACAAGCAACGTATACCCTTAATTGAAGAGAATTAGGGATAACAACACACGAAAAAGACTTGGGAATTGTTATAGACAACAAACTATGCAACAGTGTGCAATGTCAATCAGCAGTGGCCAAGGCAAGTAAGGTATTGTCATGCATGAAAAAGGGCATTCATTCTCGGGACAAGAATATCATTTTGCCTCTTTATAAATCACTGGTAAGACCACATTGAATATGCTGTGCAATTTTGGGCACCTGTTCTAAAGAAGGATATTATGGCACTAGAAAAAGTGCAGAGGCGGGCTACAAAATTATTAAAAGGAATGGAACATAACAGCTATGAAGAAAGTTTAACAAATTTAAACCTATTTAGTTTAGAAAAACGTCGCCTGAGAGGGGATATGATAACATTATACAAATATATTCGGGGCCAATACAAACCATTGTGTGGAAATCTATTCACAAACTGGACTTTACATAGGACACGAGGCCATGTGTTTAGACTGGAAGAAAGAAGATTTCGTCTAAGGCAAAGGAAAGGTTTTTTTACTGTAAGAACAATCAGGATGTGGAATTATCTGCCTGAAGAAGTGGTTTTATCAGAGTCCATACAAATGTTCAAACAGCTACTAGATGCATACTTGCAAAAACAGAATATTCAAGGATATAATCTTTCAATGTAGGGTAATAACTGCTTGATCCAAGGATAAATATGTTTGCCATTCTGGGGTCAAAAAACAAATGTGAGGAAGGCTGAACTTGATGGACGTAAGTCTCTTTTCAGCTATGTAACTATGTAACTATGTAAACCAAGAAATTAAGCGCGCTGTGGGGATATTTATGGGATAATAATAGTAACAGTGAGAATTGCCCACTAATTCAATTCTCAGATCCCAAAGAACGTTTATCGTGTTAAGTGGAATGTATTTCATATAATAATATCACAATGTATAAAAATAGATTTTTATTTATAATGACAAATTAATTAATAATAATATGTAACATGCATGACAATAATCAATGAATATCCAGTATAAAATGATATGCAATACAAAGGAATGGGTATTACGTTTCAATGGCTAAATAGCATTTCCTGTCAAGAATTCTGACGATTTATGAGGTATCCTCACAGACTGAAAAAGTTTCACTCAGAGAACAGAATTCTTCAGAGTGCAGCGTAAGGTCGTAAAGTTTAGCTGACAGTTAGAATAACCCTTTCAATGCTGGCTAGATCTCCTAGGTAATCAAGATCTATTCTTATGTAATTTTTAAATAAAATAACATTTAAACCAGTTCATTAGTCATTTCCTGGAACCATCAAATAAGAAAATCTACCATATTTTATGAGCAGAGTTTGTTTTAATTTGTCTAAAAGATATCTTATCTTAATTTAGAGCAAATCAATACACCTGGATAAAAACAACGGTATGCTAACACGTGATAATATCACTTCAATATATAATTATTCTTAATTCCACCTGCAGAATGGAATGTTTATAACTATATATTCTTTAGTTAACTAAGATTTCTTAATATGGAAATCTGACCGTGCTTTATCCAGTCATATATAATGCTATTAATACATTTAATTAATTTAATTAATTAAATGAAACCAGTATAATTACCAGTTGAGTAGATATTTCATCCGATTGGTAGTCTCAGGAACTTATTTGGATGTCTCTCTGCATGGAGGTGTTGGTTAGAAAGTCAGTAAATTCTAAGTGTTAGAGTTTTAGGAGTAGAGTGTTAGTCTCAGATGTTGTCCGAGTTGGAATCCCCAAACTTCCAATTCCTCTCTCCTCTCCTTTGCATCTCCTGCATATCTTGCCTTTGTCTTAACTTTTAAAGGGCCAGACTCTCTGTACGTCATCAGTTGATAACCCAATAGAAGCACTAGAGGTGTGGTTATCTTCCAGATCGCAAATTAGTTATTTGGTCTATAGAGGGCAGTCTTGTCCCACTAAACATACCTATCCAGGAAAGAGTTAACTTTTCCTGGTGGCTATTTTGACGTCATTTTGCTTATCTCAAATGACCACTATAACTTACGTATCCTTCAAAGATCAAAGGGTTTCTTTAAGTTTTGTCCAGACTATGTGTCTGCAAATCTGAGTTTTTCTGATATGGCAGATCATGAACTAAGTTTACCCTTTTCCATACAATGGTACCTTATATGTATAGACAGTTAAATTTTATTATTTAATCTTCTCTGTCACAATTGTCTGGGTTTAGATTTGATTATATTCTTCTTATCACTTGTTTATACTATGCTATGCATTCCTTAGCTTTGGCGAAGTGGCTAGTTTTACAGATAGAAATCTTGTGTCTTTTTTGTTAACTTGAAAATAACAAAATGGAGTCTGGTCTGTTCAGAGTGACTCAGAATATACACTTTTAGTTTCTATCATAGCACAAAATGTCTGCCGATATAAATACCCTGACAGCGCTGTGCCTTTAAAAAAAATATTTTTCAATAAAAAGAAACATGTGAAAATAAATAAATATTTAAAGTGCTTATTGTGTCAATACACTATAAATATAAAAATGTTATAAAACATGGAGCAGGTAAAAGACTGTTCAGGCTAAATACGCTTTAAGTATGTATCGAGCCTTGTCTGCAGAAAGAAGATGGACAGCCAAAATCCAATATGAACAATCTTTATTCTTTAAAAAAAGAAACAAACGTCTTAAGACTCTCCGTCTCACCAGTCCATCAGATCAGTGTTCCCCAACCCAGTCCTCAGTCTTTTACCTGCTCCATGTTTTATAATATTTTTATATTTATAGTGTATTGACACAATAAGCACTTTAAATATTTTTTTTGTACATATATGTGAATAGAAATTGCACTTTAAATTAACGCACAAGTTGATGTGTTATTTGCACAATATTGAAAAAGCACTTTTGCTGTTGTTTGAACACTTTTTATGGAAATTTGAGTGCATAGAATTTGATGGCACGTTTTTAAAGGCACAGTGCTCTTTATTTCTTGCTTTGACATTTTGGAGTTTAGCCTAGTATTATCTTACTTTTTCCAATGAGAATCTTGAAGTGCGCAAATCTGAGCTTAACTTTTCCTCAAAAAATCTAGAAGTAAAGATCTTTTAAATGCTGAGTTGATCCCGTGGGCATTCAGTAAATTTATCAATTCTAAATATAGCTTGGATCTCTCTCTCCAGACCTCTTACACACATTAAAACATAATAAAATACAATACAAAATATACAAAACTTTTTCGTAACAATCCCAAGGCACAAATATTGCATAGCCAAATACCCCAGCCGTGCAACATGCCAAGTAAAAAAAACACATAACTCGTTTTAGGTTCCCACTTGTCACATGGGCTAGTAAACTAAGGACAATTGCTCAGAGATAAGCCCAAAACGCCAAAGGCAAAATATATTAAAAAAAACATTAAATATATATTTCATGCATTAAATAAACTTTGAGTTTACCTACCTGTGATAAGCTATCCACAGTTTTGTGTTCTATATAAGCACATAACTTCCTTACTTTATAATCCCCCTTTATGGATTCTCATTATCCATGACAGTATCAGTGTCTGTGTTAAATCTTTTTGTGTGTTTAGCCTCAGTGCTGAGATAAAAAATATTTACCTTATCTTTTCCTTTTCCTTTCCTCTTAATTAAATGCAATCTCATGTATATGCTAAATATATAATATATTGTGCATCTATACCTACATGTGAGAGAGAGGCAATTTTTTGCATAAGACATTTAAGGGATGAGGATTTGTAGTATGAGCAGGAAAGCTAGGTCTACTAAATGGCGGTTACTGCTATAGCCTGTAGTTCGCCTCTCTACCGCTCCCTGCAACTTAAGGGGTAATAAAGGAAAAGCAGAAGGAAAGAAAATAAACATAACAGGTCGATCAAAATAGCATAAGTGCATGGCTTGCAATGGCATATTGGTGTAAATCCACTCTAATGGTGACTAATACTTATAAAGCTTGAATAACAGTCATCAGGCCCATGCCAGTCAAGGAGTTATCCGTCACCCGATTCCCATATCTGGAAAGCACCAGGAGTGTCTTGGTGGGCAGTAAAGCGTCCCCAGCAGGTCTGGATGCCCAGGCTGGTTTTGTATGCCGCTGGTGCCCGCTGTGTATGTCCAGGGTTTCTGTATTCCAGCCGAGCCATGCGGGACTCTGTGCCCAGTTGTCGGAGGGGGGGGGGCGATCTGCCTGTTGGGTCTGTAGCTGTTGCGGAGCAGCATTTCTCGGCCCTGTAATTTCAGGTATCTTCAGGTGGGTTGAGTGGTCTTCTTGGGTTATGTTGCTCCGGTGTGCCTTGTGTCTGCGCTTCAGGTATATTTTCATCCTCTTGTGCTGGCTTGCCACCGCGACTTTGCCTCGGTTATGGGGGCAGGTGGGTGTTAATGATTGCAGAGCTTTCTGATGGCCCCTGGCTTGAGAGTGGTTAATAATCCCTTTCTTCCCGGATACTGGGGCTCCCTGCTGGTCAGGGTATTTAGCTTGTGAAGTTTATCCCATCGGGTCTGGGTTTTGGTGATTACCTGCCCAGTTAGGAGACCCTCTTGGTCATCTGCGGGTGAGGTCCCTTGTGTGAGCAGGGGAAGCCTCTCATTCTCCTCTCCAGCCGAAGCCAGAAAGCCGCAAAGGTGGCGTCGATTCTGTTGTCTGTATTTTGCTGCGCTTCAGCCCCTGTGGGCAATCCGCCATGTCAAGATTAGTTAGTTGCCGTTGGAGTTGGTGCCTCAGAACAGGAGAGCGGCCTCCTGGGACCGGGATAACCCCCGCCGGTCCATTGGGGGGAGGACAAGGGCCCGTAGTTAGCCGTCCAGCCTCATGTGTCGGCGGGAGAGCGGCCGCCTCTCCCGCGCCTGTCATGCTTACAGGCCTCATGGTACGGTCAGGGTAATCTCGTGGGTAGATCTGCATGTTTGGTGTCTTCAGAAGCCCCTTAACTTCACTGATTGCTTGGTAGCTTTATTTGTCGAGTTTGGGTAGTTTTGAGGCAGTTATAATGCAATCTTTGCCTCTGTTAGCAGGAGCTGCTCTGATTAGCGTCCGCTCGTTTTGGTGGTCAGGCCCCGCCCCCCTAAACATTACCTTTTTGATTCTCTTGACCATGAATATGAGTAATATCTAATCTAGCCTTTTATTGTGTTATGTCTTATGGTGTTCAATTTAGTGCTACTATTCTATTATTTTGTGGGTGAAAAAAATCTTTATCAGTAATATCAGTATCCTAAAGTCTCTCTAGACTTTTATTTCTTGTGGAAATATGCTCCACCTTATTTTCAGTACCCTGTTCTCTAAATCTATTTCCAAAGTTTATATGCAACCCCTTGTTTACTAGATAATTGTTTTGTATCTCCGTATATATTATTAGCATTTAACCATAGTTTTATTTCTCTTCTGAGTCAAAAGAGGTAGTTCTCTCATCATGTACCATAAAGATTTTTGTAGGAACGCACCACGAATACTTAAAGGGACACAATAGGCACCCACACCACTTTATCTCATTGAAGTGTTCTGGGTGCAGTGTCCCTATCCCACTTAGTCCTGCAATAAAAATTACCTTGCAGGACTAAGACAGCCTCTAGTGATTGTCAATCAGACAGCCACTAGAGGCACCTCCAGGATTTTATCAGATTCTAGGTCTCCTAAATTAGGCTGGACATCCTCACGCTCTGCATGAAAGACATCCAGAATCAGTGAAATCCACATAGGAAAACATTGAGACAATGTGCATAATGTTCCCCCTTCAGATGAAGTCGGAGGTGCCAGCCCTCCTGTACTTACCCTGGTGGTCTGCCAATCAGCTGACTCTCCGATCTGGCTGACACTGCATGCCTGCACCATGACTTCAGAGGAGCTCTAAACAATAGAGCTTGGCACACTCGCACCTTTTGGGGATGTGGTTATGCTAACCACGCCCCCAAACATATAAAATCCTGTTCTGTTCAAGGCACAGTGACCTGTTGTAGTTCCTAGAGTTTCTAGTGCCCCAATAGCATGTTCTTTTGTCACTTCAGTATATTTTTAGTATTGGCCTAGCTTGCTCTTGACTACTCTGTTTTCTGGCTCACATGACTCAGCTCTGTCTCTTGTATTTGTGTATTTCTGGCTTGCCTTGATCTTAGCTTTTTCTGACGTTCCTTGAATTTATTCTGTCCGGCCATTCTAAGGACTGGTTCAGGGACCTTTTATCTGTCTCTATTTCTTCTGGTTGATTTTAATTCTGCGTGTTAGGTAATAACATTACAGGAGGAGGTGGAGTACCAATCCAGCACTGAGGGACATTAGCACTTGAATCAGGCGAGTAAATAAAGGGTTTTTAACCCGTTATCTGCTAGTTACTCTGAAACTGCAATGTTGTAGGTGCAGGGGTAAGGGGACAAGAACAGTGCATCCAGACATCTTAAATGAGATGAAGTGGTCTGGGTGCCTATTATTATTATTATTATTTTATTATTTATATAGCGCCATCAGATTCCATAGCGCTGTACAATGGGTGGACTAACAGACATGTAATTGTAACCAGACAACTGGACGTACAGGAACACAGAGGTGGAGGGCCCTGCTCAATGAGCTTACAGTAAAAGACAGTATTAGTAGTCTAGCTAAAAGAGCATAGTCATATTTAAAGGTGTTCCACAGTGCTATGCAAAGTTATACCAACTGATTTTTGCGCCTTGCACCATACCAATCGATGAGTGCCTCACCAGTCATGGAGCCTTGTAAGACTTAATCCATCACCAGCCTGCAACTTGATATAGAAGGTAGCTTGCTTATAGGTAGCCTACAGACAGAGAAACATGCAGCAGGAAAAATAATGGAAGTCTAGTAGGAGGATTAAAAGAAAAGTTTAGTACTGATGCTTAGTACTACTACGTGATTTTTCAGGCTTTTTTTAATGCAGTGTGGATTAGTTTTTTACTATATTATCCTTTATTATCCAAACATTTGACCTTGCAGTTATTTTTTTTTTTTGTCCTTGGCAGCAAGATATTATTTTTAAAAAACTCCAACATTTTTAAAAACATGGCGATTTATTTTACAACTTAAAGTATATCTGTCATGGTATACACAACTTAAAAAGAATGGTATTGTATCTTTTCTTTTTCAATTGATTTGAAAGTGAAATCCTCTTTTTGACTTCTTAGATAACGTGACCCAGTTACAGTTGAGGAACTAAGGGATGAAACATTTAATACATTGTACTCTAGATATTGGTCTACTGTGGTGGAATGCCCTATGAGCCATGGTAAGGAGCTAAGAAGACGTGCAAGGCTGTCTACTTTTTTCCCCAAGATATGGACACACATCTGCCTCTCTAGTAGTATACATGCTGCAGTATTTTGTATAATCTGTATGGGTAAGAAAATTGAAATAGAGTTGCAAAAGGAACAAGAACCAGCATTAAAACAGCGAACTCAAGAAATAGGCTTTATATCCTCAATATTCTCACCGGGCACATTCATAACCTGCGTTCTGCATTCACACCAAGGATACCTACCTAAACTAATGTCCTCCTTCTCCCAACCAATTGCAGAGGTCCTGGGCTAAAGAGCTCCACATGCAGAAACATATAGTAGGGTAAGAAGAAAGCACAGCATAATGGTAATCTCCAAAAAGATGGTAAGAAAACTCTAACAGTAAAGAAGGAAGTCAGGAAAATCAGAAGGGAAGCTGCACAAAAGAAACAAAAAATACACACCATGTGTTTAAGACTTTTCATTCCTTAATTATAAGAGTCCACATCCTGAGATTCATCCTTCACCATCTATGCAAAGCATTCATACTCAGCTGTCAGCTCTCACAGTCTGCACACATTATTCACACCCTTCTCACAGCATTTACACATGATATTTACATACTAACTCATTATAAATATAAAATCTGGACACAGTTTATAAATTTTTTTGAGGGCAAGAAGGAGGCACTAAAGATTTAAACCCCAAACCTGATACCTGGGTTTCAGTGGTTTGCAACCAAAACAGAAAATATGAGAATCCTGAGAATGTGCAAAAGATCAGTATTTACACTGAACAAAATTATAAACGTAAAACTTTTGTTTTTGACCCCATTTTTCATGAGCTGAACTCAAAGATCTAAGACTTTTTCTATATACACAAAAGGTCTATTTGTCTCAAATATTGTTCACAAAATCTGTCTATATCTATGTTAGTGAGTCTCATTTGCTGAGATAATCCATCCACCTCACAGGTGTGGCATATCAAGACGCTAATTAGAAACCATGATGATTGCAAAGGTGTGCCTTAGGCTGGCCACAATAAAATGCCTCTCTAAAATGTGCAGTTTTATCACACAGCACAATGTCACAGATGTTGCAAGTTTTAAGGGAGCGTGCAGTTGGCATGCTGACTGCAGGAATGTCCACCAGAGCTGTTGCCCGTGAATGAAATGTCATTTCTCTAACATAAGCCACCTTCAAAGGCGTTTCAGAGAATTTGACAGTACATCCAAACTGCCTCACAACCACAGACCACGTGTAACCACACCAGCCCAGGACCTCCACATCCAGCATCTTCACCTCCAAGATCATCTGAGACCAGCCACCTGGACAGCTGCTGCAACAATCGGTTTGCAAAACCAAAGAATTTCTGCACAAACTGTCAGAAACCGTCTCAGGGAAGCTCATCTGCATGCTCGTCATCCTCATCGAAGTCTCAACCTGGCTGCAATTCATCATCGTAACCAACTTGAGTGGGCAAATGCTCACATTCTATGGTGTCTGGCACCTTGGAGAGATGTTCTCTTCATGGATGAATCCTGTTTTTCACTGTACAGTGCAGATGGCAGACAGCGTGTATGATGTCGTGTGGGTGAGTGGTTGCTGATGTCAACGTTGTGGATCGAGTGGTGGCAGTGGGGTATGGTATGGGCAGGCGTATGTTATGGACAACGTACACAGGTACATTTTATTGATGGCATTTTGAATGCACAGAAATATCGTGACAAGATTCTGAGGCCTATTGTTGTGCCATTCATCCATGACCATCACCTCATGTTGCAGCACGATAATGCACGGCCCCAAGTTGCAAGGATCTGTACACAATACCTGGAAGCTGAAAACATCCCAGTTCTTGCATGATCAGCATACTCACCGGACATGTCACCCATTGAGCATGTTTGTTATACGACAGCGTGTTCCAGGTCCTGCCAATATCCAGCAACTTCGCACATCCATTGAAGAGGAGTAGACCAACATTCCACAGGCCACATTCAACAACCTAATCAACTCTATGCAAAGGAGATGTGTTGCACTGCATCAGGCAAATGATAATCACACCAGATACTGACTGGTTATGGACCCACCCCCAGATCTC